AGTTTTCCTTCATTGTAAAGAAGATTGGTGAAAGATCAATAAATCCTGAATATACTTCAAGAGAAATAAGAGTCTTTTCTCTTCTCCGTACATTCTTCTTCTTCTAATTTCATATAGTTTCATAACACTTATAACTTATTTTCCAACTCATTTTAATTTATATAAGTATTACATTTCGATTCTGAATATATCGTCCATCATTCGTTTCTTTTTCTAAAAATATATTTTATACTAAAGAAGAATAAATTGTTCACGGAAGAACTAAATATATCTTTCATGTATTTATTTTTGTAAAAATAGCATCATGACTCACTTATATCCTTTTTGACTAATGGCCAAAATTGAATTTTAAGAAAATTTATTTAAAATGTATGTGATATTTTAGTATGGTCCCAATATTAGATTGTGACCCCAATTGAATAACTTCACTTAACCAATTTTTTGAATTATCTAAGACAAACTCTCACATGACTTTTTTTTTTTATTTATGCTTATAAAATTTATTTTTTGTGAAAAAAATTGACCTCCGAAAATCAAAAGAGATCAGTAGAAAAATCTACCTTAAAAGATAGTTCATGAGAAATATTGTTTAAGATTATTTCTAACGTTCGACTTCTATGGGTAGATTATTTTTTGCACCAAGAGCCCCAAAAATATTGCAAATCGACCTCTCAAAGGTAGGGACGTACACCATTTGGATTAAATCAAAAATCAAATCAAATCAAACCGAATTCTAATTAGGATCGATTTTTTGGATTCTTGATTTGGTTTTTGGATTTGTAATTTACTTTGTTTGTTTTTTTGGTTTGATTTCGGTTTTAAAATTAAAACCGAAAAATTATATATATATATGTGTGTGTGTGTGTGTATATATATATGTGTGTATATATACACACACATACATATATATATATATATATACCAAACAATTAAAAGGGCATTAGTGAGCTATAAAACATAGCCATAGGAGCAACAAGGCCAAGAATGAGAAACAATATTATCAATTTTGTAGCAAAATTTTTCATTTTCATTTTGAAGGATGCATGCTTGTGACTAAATATAATGCATAGTGTGTATATTAATCTTGGTCAAGCCACTTGGCTTTGATTAATTGTGTTGTTGCCACTTGAGCAACTTTGACACAATTTATAGCCAAAAATTTAAATTAGCATTTAGTGTTGAGGGCTAAAACGTTTGTCCTTGTTGTTATAATAATTGACAATTCAGAATATCATCAAGACATATATGTAATTCAAAGAGAAGTAATGTTTTCATATTTATCACTTGACGTTAGGGATGATCAATTATGACTTGAATAATTTTAATCTAATTTTTAGAATTCAGTTAGAGCTAAAATTCATAATATGCATGACATAAAAAGCAAGATCCATCTCAATTCTTAAACGTACTAGTCCTAGGCGTCCGAAAGAAGGGACGGGGTGAAGAGTCCTGTATAAGGGGCCTCTAAAAGATGAGTATTGTGATATTAATATTTTGAATATGATATGAAAAATTCTCACCTCTCGAGGACTTAACCGATTGAAACCTCCTTCCGCATTTGAAAAAACTATTTTTAGTAATTTGATCTGTAAATGATCTACAAAAATCAATTCTACCACCAAATTTTTAGTCAACTGCTTTCTTTACCTAATCAAGAAAAGTGTTTTCATATTAACTCTAGTTTTATAATTATTAATCAGCCAGAAATGGGCTAAAATCTGAAAGATGACCACATGGTGAGTATTAGCTTAGGTGTGAGAAGCAACTAATTTATGGTTAGGCAAGAAGGCTACTTAAATTATATAATTAGATATATTTCACTAATATATTATTATTATTATTTATACATTCAAATTAAAATCTTTCCGTCATATATTATAGAAAGATACATGTACTTTTATTATCGGATTCACTACCGTTTACAGTTTCTTCTCTCGTTTTATGTAGATATATGCATATGTTTTTAGAAAAATACTTTTTACTTGTAACAAAATTTTCTTTTAAAATAATTTTTTCTTGTTTCTGTTATATTCGATACATAATTAAAAAAATTTAATATACATATCAACACAAAACCAGAAAAATAAATAAATAAATTAGGAGTAGAGCGTTAGAATTACTGGGATAAGATTTTAACTCTTTTTTTAAAAAAAAATATAAAAAAGAAATTAGAATTAATTCTAGGTATGGAATTAAAAAAACAAAAGGTATAATTTAAATATACTTTTGATACTTTTATCTCTATTTTATAAATTAAACTTAGTAATCAAGTTCCCATTTGCAAATAATAATTTCAGTGTTTTATGAGTGAATTTTCATGATTAAATATTAATTTTTTTAAAAGTAATAATAGAAAACTACTATAACTGACTGACAAACCCATTTTTGCCAATTTCCTCGGTCCAATTAATTGGTCGACATAGTCGTTTAGCGGTTGACAGGTGTGTATCGATCGATTTGGATCGATATTAAAATTTATAATTTTGAATTATTGATATTGTTCGTAATTATAATAATAGTTATTAAATCATTGAAATAGTAATCTTATTGATTATTGATTTATTTATTATTAATTATTATTAATTCAGTTATCAATTAAATTGTTAAGATTTAACATGAAAAAATTTATTAAAATCACTTTAAAATAAAGTGACAAACTAAATAAATTATACACAAGAGTTCACATATTACATCTTGCTTAAAATTGACACATTGTAAAATAATTAAGAGTGTCTGACAGTTAGAAATAAAAATATGATATAAATATAATTTATTAAGAAAAACTTGTATAAATATATTATATTAATAAAATATTTATCATATGTAGCAATAATATTTTTTTTCAATAGACACTTATAATACAATTTTAATGTATATTATAGAGAAAAATTTATAAAATACGATCAATACAAGTTTTATTAATTTATATATAAAATTTAAAATCTTAAATAACCGATAATTCAATAATTTTTTTTTAAAAAAAACTATTTTTTATCGAAATAATTAAACCAATAACTCGATATTAGTAAACCAATAGTTTGATTTTGAACAACTCTAAATATTATAATAATAAGTTACTAGAATCATTAAAAGTTATTATCATGTATTAAGTGTTTGTAAAATTAAATTAATCGAACTCCAAAACAATAACGAACGCAAAAAAGAATTGAAAATAAAGTTTCCTCGATGTACGTAGCTGCTTTATAGGCGATTGATCATCGTCGACGTAGTCTTTTCTTTTTGTTTCTCTTTTTGGCCAATGGTGCACGCCCAACACTTGTTTCTTACTAATTTATTTGTATAGAAATAAACAATTCGCCTTTCGAATAATTTACGTGATATATTTTGCTTTTGAAAATATATATTATATAAATTTTAATTAATATTATTTTTGCGCGAGTAACTTATAATAATTTTTGAATATTTAAATTATTTATAACTCGTAATATTAATAAATGTGTCAGATAAATTGAAGGAGAGAACGATAGATTAATTTAATTAATGAATATATGAAAAGTGTGTATTTAATTAATTAGTATATATTTTATTTTATTAGAACACGTAGATTTTTTACCTATATATAGTTTGTTCGAGTGACATATGAAAGAATTGGAGTATTGTGGGGAAAATTAATTTCAGAAGAAAAACATGCATTAGATTTCTTCATGAATAAATCTGTAAGTCCAAACTGATTTCACTATTCTTTTCTCAAGTTTGATTTTGTTGCTCTCGATGACTCGTGAAGTTAGAGTTTTAAGTTTATCGGATATTTAATCTTTTAGTTATTTAAAAATATTTAGTTTCAAAATAAATATAAAGTTTCCGTTAAAAAATTAGAATGTAGAAAACTTCTAGCTCCGATTGTGTAAAAGATTTTGGTTTATTAAGCATATCTGTTGGTTGTTTTTCCGAATCGTCTGTATTGTTTATTGCGATAGTGAAATAAAAAATTTCGTTAGAAATATTCACCTTCGATATCTATAATTATATCATCCTAACACTTAGTATTGGTACACTTTATACTAAAAGGATTTGATTTCATTTTGCAGTAAATATAATATATACGCTCCTAATTTGATTTTTATTGACATTTATATTTTTAAATTTCGGACATGCGCAACTAAACACATCAACATGGATATAAAATTAAATAAATAGACGCAAACTTCCTCAAACTCCCTACCTGACACTTGCGTTTGAACATACATGAAATCTCAGAGACCCAACTTAAACGACATATTTATGTAATTTTGCAATATTACTCTTCACAAAAAAATCATAACAATAATGTGTAGGGTAATCAATTTCAAGTACTCCATTATACAACTTAAAAAGAGGGAAAAATAGGCATATAAGTCACCCTCTAGTAAATATGTCAAAGTAGAGAAGTTAACTTTAATCATCATCCATTAGAAACAAGAACAAGGATGAATAATTATTAGTTTTATTGAAACTAATTTTGCAGGTTCCTCTGGTGCAGAAGCAAGGCTTTTCGACGAATACGACGATAATCACTAGAAGAAATTCAGGGTAACTTTTTGTTGTCCACAAATCATGTGGGGTGCTGGAAGGTCAGACATTTCATTCACTTTTGTGTTTTTCTTGATACTAGCTATCTGTATTGAACATAATGCATATTGTTAGTTAAAAAACATGAAAGAGGTTCACTTTTTGATAGCAAATTTTGTGTGATAATGCTTACATTGTCCTCCAGATGTTTCTTTTCCTCTAGCAGCAGTTTTTCCTGCAATAATTAAAGGGTATCATGGAAAAATTAACATGATACTAAAGATATCTGATAAGAATTGAGAACTAACTATTGATTACAATGCTTCATAGGGCTGTAGAAAGCATGTAATCCTATTAACTCCGTCGACTTTCTAGGAGCAAACCAATTGTATGAGATTTGAGCAAAAGAGAGGACTAGTTTATAAGTCCGGTGGTCAATTAAGTCTTTTAACATACTTTAGACCATCCTATCAAGAAACGGACAAGGACAAGTGGATGTTTTGTGCCCTCCTTTTCCACAATAAGCTAATCGACTATATTAAGATTACATTATCAACATGGTGTGCAAGCTCTAGAGACTAGTCCTCAGTTGAAGTCAAGGATAGTGTGTCCTATAACCCCGGAAAAGAGGAAATGTTTCAACTACAGAGTTTTACATGTTGCTCGGATCCTTCAAAAATTTCTGCCGCGGTTTTTGAAGGACTATCTTTGACGAGTTCGAGCAAACATAGGATGAAAATTGAAATGAAGCTATTTGTTTTCTGATATATGAAGGTTTGAATAAGAAAAACCTAAATCCAATGCACCTAGATCTGAGAGTCAAAGTTCCTGCTGCATAGAGATTTCGCAAGACAAAGATGGATAAATCAAACTCATGACTTCAGGAGAAACTAGCAATGGAAATGAAAATTTACCTTCTCATGAAGAACCTTAGCAGATTCAAGCATCAAATGTGTCTGCACAAAACAAAAGTATTTAGTGTTGCTTCATTCTGAGGTACTAATTTAGAACCAGATTATAATACTGAAGTCGAACATTATTTAGAAAAGAAATGTGAATTCTTGTAGAACACAGAATAAAAGTAAAACAAAAATAAGAGGTGTAGCCAGTGGCGGAGCCAAGATTTCCCGAGTTCCGATTGATGCAATTCCTATAGGGGCGAGGTACAGAGGAAAGTAGATAGACCTTTCTAGCTCTGAGATGTATTAGAGCAGTTTGAAGTTCGTTTTCCAAATGGATAAGGTCAGTCAAAGTGAGACCATCAGCATTTGTTTCCTCGAGTTGCCTATCAAATTGAGACGGAAAATAAGTGGTATAAGCTTTAAGAAACAAAAGTGAAGAATAAGATTAGTACCTTTCTGTTGTTTGTAGCAGTTCTCCCATTGTTGTGAACCCCGACACCTCAAAATGATTGGAAAATTTTCAGTGCAAACAATGTGAGTATGATTGTCCAAGATAATAACGAATAACACCAAAGTTATTAATGTGGATACATTGCACAATATGCAATGAAGCGAGGATAAGTTACTAATCAACCATATTAGCTTAACATGAATGAACAACTATGCACAGCCAGGATTTGACGAAATACTATGCATGTCAGCGTAACTCATTTTAGTCTAGCAACAATGAGATTTTTCTTTTTATAGGTACATTTTAGTTGAACAACAACACGATCTTTGCTGCACTATGATGAGAGTGAGCATTATTATAATTTGGCCTTCCCATTCAGGGAGCTGGAACACCAAAGTAACGTCTATGTATAAAAATTGTATTTGGGCATGATTTTAGGGGCAGATTTTCACAAAAGAAAATAAAACATTGCTTGTTCATGAAATTTAGTTAGTTTCTGAAAATGTCTTCGAGAAAATTTTAAGTTCCAAAAACTGGTCTAGAGCAATTTTTGGATGAAATTTCACTTCCACTTCATAACTTTGATTTTTTAAAAGATAAAATGAATCTTCATATTATTTTAAAGTGAAATGCATGTCCATAAGCAACTTCAAATTCCAAAAACTATTTTTCAACAAACTTCAAAAACTTATTTCTTTCAAGTTTCGACCAAAACTATGGCCAAACACTAGCTTAGAGCCTATTTGGATGGACTTGTTTTAAGTGCTTTTAAGCCAAGATAGTTTTTTTAAGCGCACTTGTTTTTAAGTTAACATAACAAAAATAAGCCAAAAATCACAAGTCAAAGATTCCTAATAGCTTAAATCTATAAACGATAAGTTATAAGACCATCCAAAATGATTCGTAGCAACTTCAGACCTCGGAAATAGTTCTGTCTAGATATTTATAAATCAGGTCTGCTCCCCTTTTTTAAAGGGTGCAAGTTCAAAGTTACTTAACATTAGACGGAGGCTAAGAGTAACCAAATTAATTGAGAACCTAAACATATGGACATACAGAGCACTTATTTCATGTAGCAAGAGAGGATTCTGATTAATTAAAATATATACGTTGACAGCAGTCAACTAATCAAATACCTCTGCGACCTGGATTTCTGCATTGATCTCTTTTTCTGCTCCAACATGGCTTTCATATCGTCGAAGCATCGCTGTCATACTGGAAAAAATATCATCAGATATGCTTGTTAGTTGTTGGTGGGTAAGTACTAGGAAAATATCATGAAGAGCAGATCATGTTGTATAGGTTTAAACTTAAAGAGTGCACCAGAAATTGGAAAACGAACATATTTTATGTTCATTTTCATGGGGTATGTAGGCACTAAACCATGGAAAATTCCTTCTTCATGGATAAATAACAAAAGGGAAGCCCTCTTTTAATTAGTAAGATAAGATATAGATGGCTGGGAGGATTCAAAATAGGTTTCCTAAAATCTGAACTACATGTTAGCGCAATGGCCAAAAAGCCGTTACGGCTTTGTAGGGTCGAAAATCTTTCTTCCGCTTTCAGTGATTTCCTAAAAGCTGAACTGCATGTTAGCACAACGGCCATAAAGCTGTTTCAGCTTGAAGGGTCGAAAATCTTTCTTCCGCTTTCAATACCTGTCTCAAATCGGATTCAATTAGTTTCTCCCTTTGTGCAAGCACTTGGTTCGCCTTGTTTGTGTTACATTTTGTGATCTTTTACTTCAATCTGCATTTTCCGGATAGCGGAGACCCAATTTTGATATTTGATTCGAGTGTAAGCTCTCGTTCATACATTCATATGAGATTTTGTGTCCAACAGCTTGGAACTGTTTGTATATGTAGCTCAAATTAACCCGCAAGAGGAAATCTGTTTTACGCTATTCTTATAAGAATTCGGGTGTTCGATAGGGGTGTGGATTTAGAGATTTGATCCTCTATAATCAAAATTTTAAGAGTGGGGCTTGGAATTAGGCAATAAAACTAAAAATATGCCTAATTTGTGGTGGGCTAATTAGAAGGAAAGCAATGCACAAATATTTAAGAGCAAGTTTGAATATGTAATTATTAAGTACATATGCATCTCCTTGTTTTTGGTGTAGCATGGTCATTGCAAATGATATAGAGGTGATGGTAGACTTCTTGAGTTCATTACACATCACGCAGTGACATTTAACTTGTAAATATCTTTAAAATCACCTTCTGATCGCGAACTTTTAGATATAAATATCTTTTAAGGATAAAAAGAACATATGCCTAAATTATGATTTCACCCCTAGTTTTTTTTTAAAAAAGATAAATTCAGAAGTCATTATATGTCTCGAATTTCTCTATCGATTTTGGTCAAAGTACCCAAAATCTATTGACCACACTTGGTACGAATTCCACGCCCGCATGCATGTCGAATCGACACGTGTACGACACTAAGAATTGGTGCAATTTAGCATTTAATAAACAACTACATATGTTTAGTCCAAAACTAATAATCACAAGCATGAATAACAAATATATGTCCAAAACTAATAATCATAAGCATGAATAACAAATATATGAAAAAAGAAATTGGATAAAAATTTATGTTTAAATGAAATATTAATTGTTTAATGTCGTCTCTTTAGAAGAGGCTCATTGTAATGGAAAAGAATGTCTTAGAACCTTACTGACGACACCAAATTACACATTAGTGAGACAAAGTGATCAACACGTTTTGCGCCTCGCATCGGGTTTTAAGCGCGCCTTTGATAACACTGAAATTAAGGTATTTATAGTAGTAATGTACTATATTCTTATGTCGTATGTTGATGAATTTATTATCTTAGTCGAAGATTATATCACAATATTTGATGGTATTCATCTAAATTCAAGTATAAAAAGAGGTTTATATGTATTATTTTGTTTTATTTTTGTAAGATTTACTATTATTTATTATTAATTATTTCTTACTTATAGCCCAAGTTTACTTGTAATCCAAGTAATACCATAATTAGTATTTAATAAGGAATAGATCTCGTCCGTATATTGGTAACATGATGGACGTATCAGATTAAATCATAACCTCTATAAATTGATCCTCTCTCTACTCATTAGCGTTAATCACATATTCTCTACAATAATTTCATCGCTGACGGTTGTGATAAAATAAAGTTAAGGCAAGAAGGTAGAAACCATTTATGACTAATGCTTCTGTCTTTCTCTGTGATGATGTCTTCCTCATCAAATATGTGCTCCTAACAATTTCTATGTAAGATTATCGTGTTCAAGATCGTGATATTATGTATTCAAGTATTTGATCTATGTGGCATCAAAGCCCGAATTGTTTGAACATATAATCTTTATAAATTATATAACTGCATCAGCCTTGGTAGGGTAAAAAAGAGTAATTACCGCCCCCATTCCTAAATAAATAAATAATTATGTTTTGTTTTAGATTGCATAAATTCTAAATATTTTAGTTTCTCCCATAATGTAATAATTATATTCTCTTTTAGATTGTGTAATAAATTAAATTTATCGTTATATTAAGTAATAAATTATATGTGCGTACTTAGTGCAAATATAGTTTGTTAGTCACCAAAGTGCTAAACTAGAAAATTAATGTTTACACATAATATTTATGTTCACTTGACATATGTGGATTAGTACAATTCATTATTTTTTGGCACCTTCAATATTCTAAGATAAACCAGGTCTGATTTTTCAATTTGATGCATGCATTATGTTTTAATAGTTTGTTAGTCATCAATGTGTCCAAACAAAAATGTTTAAAATTATTCGCATACAAAAAAATTTATGATGTTATGTGTGCTTTGTATTTATATAATTTGCTAGTCACCAAAGTGATCAAACTAGAGAAATTAACGTATACACATATCATGTTTATGATCATTTGATGTATGTATTATGTTTTTATATTTTGTTAGTCACCAAAGTGGCCAAACAAAAAATTTTAAAATTATTCGCATGCACAAAAATTTTATGATGTTATGAGTGCTTTGTATTTCTATAGTTTGTTAGTCACCAAAGTGGTTAAACTATTAGAGAAAATTAACGTCTACACATATCATGTTTATGATCACTGACGCATATATTATGTTTCTATAGTTTGTTAGTCACCAAAGTGGTCAAATTAATGTTTAAAATTATTCACATGCACAAAATTTTATATAAGTTTGTTAGTCACCAAAGTGGTCAAACTAGTATGCTTAAGAAAAATATGCACTCATAAAATTGTCATTTATCTATGAAGGTTAATTAAATGCCTATATTATAAAATAAATAGATAAATTTACTTTCACTATTGTTAGAACTTAAATTTTTTTAACAATGGCGAATCTCTATTCTACGAATAATGAAAAATTATGAGGTAAATTAATATTTTCAATCAAACATATGTTGTATATCCAAAGATGTCGGATATGTTTGCTTAAAATTATATAATTGTCTATTAAAGATTTTTAAAATGACATTTAAATTATGATAGTGTGTCATAGTATATATATCCAAAGGAGAATTACGATGTACTTTTATCGTTTTACTGAATTCACATTATTTTTTATGTGTATATGTCTATTTGCAATTACTCCTTTTCATTCGCATGCTCCACCTGTTACTGTGTTCAACGGATTGAACTTCTCTGAATGTAATGAACAAGTTAAGTTTCACTTAAGTGTGATGAATCTTTGACTTGAGTCTGCTGAATAATAAACCTACTGCAATTACTGATAAGAGCAGTAATAATGATAAATCTTTTCATCAATCATGGAAATGCTCTAATAGATTGAGCCTTATGTTCATGCGAACTGTTGCTAACAACATTAAGAGTATCATTTCACAAACAGAAAGTGTCAGGAAATATCTGAAGTTTGTGGAAGAACGTTTTCGTTATGTTGACAAGTCTCTCGCTGGTACATTAATGGTTGAACTCACGGCCATGAAGTTTGATAGGTCACGTAGTATACAAAATCATACCGAGATGATTAACATTGCATCAAGACCTCGAACCTTGAGGATGAAAGTGGATGACACCTTCTTAGTTCAGTCTATTCTGAATCATTGTCTCTTGAGTATAGACCATTCCAAATAGCTATAACACTATTAAGGATAAGTGGGATGTTAGTGAATTGTCCAATATGTTTACTCAAGAGGAGTCAAGACTTACGACGCAAAGAGGTCATTCCATTAACCTCATAGGTCAATGAGCTTGTAAAGGACTTAAAGTGAAAGCCAACAAGTTTAAGAAAAAGAAAACACTTGCTAAAGTTTCATAGGATGCTTGTAAGGAACTCAAGGTTGATGCATGTCACATCTGTAAAGAAAAAGACAATATAAGAAAGATTGCCTGAAACGTAATGTTTGGTTTGAAAAGAAAGGTACATTTGGTGTTTTTGTATGTTTCGAATCAAATTTAGTAGAAGTTCCTAATAATACTTGGTGACTTGATTCTAGTGCAACTACTCATGTATCCACTATGTTGTAGGAATTTACTACGATCCAAATTTTTTTAAAAAAATCTCTTGTACATGGGAAATTGCATGAAGGCTAAAATTGAAGGTATAAGGACTTATTGACTTATCGTTGATCTTGGGGATTGAACATCGGCTTGATCTATTACAGACTCTCTATGTTCCTTCAATTTTTAGGAATTTGATTTCTCTTTCAAGACTTGATGTTTCTGGATTTAATTTAAGTCTGGACATGGTTGTTTCAATGTTTATATAAGAATACTATTTTTATGGTTCTTGTGTTCTTATTGACAATTTATATAGATTAAAACTCTATAATAATTAGAGTAGTTCACTAAATGAAAGTTCTGCTTATTTGTGGCATAAACATTTGGGTCATGGATCCAAAGAACGATTAAAAAGATTAACAAAGAATGAAGTTCTTGCAAATTTGAATTTTTCTGATCTTTGATATATGTTTGGATTGCATTTAAGGAAAGCAAACCAAACATACCAAGAAAGATGTCACAAGGAGCACTCAGCTTCTTGAAATAATACACACTGATATTTGCGGACTCTTTGATGTTCCATCTTTTGATGGAGAAAAATATTTTATCACCTTTATTGATGATCTTTCATGTTATGAATTTATCTATTTGTTGAATGAAAAGTCTCAAGCGGCGGACACTCTCAAAGTGTATGTTAATGAGGTAAAAGACAATTAGATAGAAAAGTGAAAATCATTAGCTAGACCAGATAGAGGTGATGAATATTATGGAAATTGTAATTAACCAGAACAATGTCTAGGTCTATTTGCAAAATTTCTTGAGAATGATGAAGTTGGTGGGAGTGTTGAACGACAAAGTGTGAAAATTAATGAGGTAAGCGTAAATATTTCATTGCCCATGAATGTACCTACTTCCACACCAATCACAAATGTTGTTCGTGTGAAAATTAATGGGGTAAGCGTAAATATTTCATTGCCCATGAATGTACCTACTTCCACACCAATCACAAATGTTGTTCCTCTTGTTAAAGAACACTTTGACAAGGAAGTATGTAGCTTAAAATTTATGTACAATCGCCATAACTTGCATTAGTACTTTGTTATATTGTGGTATGTATGATGGATATTATAAAAGATATCTATTGTATGCGCAACTAATGCTTATTAAATATTAATGTTATATGGTTATTGGGCCAAGTGGGAGAATGTAAGAATTACTATTATTTATTATTAATTATTTCTTACTTATGACCCAAGTTTACTTGTAATCCAAGTAATACCATAATTAGTGTTTAATAATGAATAGATCTCGTCCATACATTGGTTACTTGATGGACGTACCAAATTAAATCATAACCTCTATTAAATTGGTCCTCCCTCCACCCATTAGGTTTAATCACATATTCTCTACAATAATTCTATCGCAGACGGTTGTGATAACATAAAGTTAGGGCAAGGAGGTAGAAAACAATTTATGAATAACGCTTCCGTTTTTCTTTGTGATGATGTCTTCCTCATCAGGTATATGCTCTTAACAATCTCTATGTGAGATTTTCGTGTTCAAGATCCTAATATTATGTATTCAAGTATTTAATCTTACAATTTTAACCAACCGAATTTGGTATGGCCTTTATTACGATTTGCCTAATATTTTGTTTTTTCTTTTGATGTAGATATGTTGAGGTCGAGGACGAATCCATTTCATCAGTAAAAAAGAATGGTACGATTTTAGAAGGTCAAGAAGAATGTTTACCCATGCTAAAACCAAAAGTATTCACGGATTGTTGCATGTTGAAAAAACTTCAAGATATGGTTAACAGATGTTTAAAGAGTCATATTGAATAATTTTGGGATCTCAATGACTCAGTTGAAGATTGGGTTGGGGGCTCAATGTCCTTCGAAACTCAAGTCTAGTACATTGCACTTTGGCTTTGGTTGTTCCCCCTTGTGATCCTACCAAAGCACCTAAGAGCTACTTGAAAAACCAACATAGGAATATGAGGCACAAACTCGAATAAAATTAACGATCTAATTTGACGCGTCGGGCAATTTATTGAGCAAAGTGCTCCATGTTGGCAAAGTGTTGTAAGTGGATTGAACGTTACGCATACATTAAGCCACATAAATTGAAGCTTCCTAAAATTATCAACTCAGACCCACACCTTGTGAAAAGCTTATCAAGCAAGGGGTGTGCTAGTCTAGCAAAGAGAATAGAATCTTAGTTTAGAAAATTTCATCTTTTTCTTAGAATATTAAGGGTTTATATACATGTTTGCATGTGTGAGAACAAGAGACTCATTTCAGGGAGGAGATAATTAGATTTTGACGATTGAGAAACCCATTAATTCAGAGGTAAGAGAATACTTATGCTCGAATTGAACTTAAGTGTGTACTTATATGACGTGATTCCTTACATTTTACATCTTTATATATTAGGTGTTCTATTATGTTTCTCTTGGATGATTGACTTTATCAGGATAAACACGTGTTTACCAGGTTGTTACTCAAATGTTATGATTAGATTTCGATTGTTCCAGTATTTGAGTTATTTATCTAATCTCACCATATAAAAATTAGGTTATATTAGTTCCTTTAGTTTAGGAGAGTTAGTTGCACTCTTGGGATATTTAGGTGATATATATCATTTAATAAAATCATTCAACTTTTTGCACTCTTGGGATATTTAGGTGATAGATATCATTTAATAAAATCATTCAACTTTTGTTTATATTCTCGTAAGGGTAAGCCTATCGATCATTACTCTTATTAGTAAAAGATCTTTCTTTTTGGTAATATCCATCGAAATGTTATCTTATTGTTTTGAGAAAATGGTCAAAACCACGTCTAAACTATCACTTTTTCTTAAATTTCACACCCTAACTATCAATTGTTCTTTGTTCCTACTTGAACTATCATCATTTATGTCTTAAAACACACTTCAACTATTTGTTGTTCCCTTTACCTACCTGAATGATAATGACAGTTTAGATAGGGAAAGGGCAGATCTGGTAGTTAAAGTGTGTTTTAATGCATAATGGTGATAGTTAAGATAGTAAAAAGTAACACTTGATAGTTGAGGTAAAAGTTTTTTTTAATGACAAGAAAACCTGCAGCCGCTACCCTTTGAATGCGCATAGAGTAAAACCTCCGCTCCTATGCAATAGCTCACAAATCACATAGAAGAGGTAACCCACACTAGGCAAGCCCGGAGCGACGAGCTCGATCCAGAAAGTAAACCTCAACTAAAAACTTTCACACCTTTTATTTGAGGTGTGGAAGTTGTTAAAAGTCTATAATTCTTGTGTTTTTTTGATCATTAACTCTTCTGTTTTTATTAGATGATTAGTTTGAATTCTATTTACATCAAATACTTTACCTCAATCAAAGTCTCTCGTCAATTGTGGCAAACTTAACTACTTTTTGGAGATTGAACCAAAGTTTGTTGCATATAGGATTGTCTTATCATAGATATACATCTTTGAGATACTATTAGAACTAGATATGGCTGAGTACAAATGGATCACCACACCCATATGATCAAGTTCAACATCGAAAGAAATTGGTGGTTTACCCCTACGAATGCAATGTTAAATCGGTGCACACTTGATATATTGCTACTTATCTTCCAACACGTTTTGATATTACATTTGCTCTAAACAAGTTATCCCAATTCATCCGTGTCTCGAGCTTGCAGCATTGAAAGGTGATAAAAGCATTGTTCGAAACTCAAGTCGCCAACAACCTTTTGTCTACAAATACTTCATCATTCTGACATGAACTTATATATGTATGCCGATGTTAACTACGCGATCCAATTGATAGATTCTCCACTTTAATGTGACGTGGTCAATATGCACCTGAGCAAGATGCATCTCAATTCTCATTTTTGATATCCGCCCACCATATTAAATTGCCCATGCACCAACCAAATGTTCAACCCTGAACATAAGAAGGTGTATAGTTCCACATCAGTCCTTAACTTTAAGGGGTGGGTGGTATGTTCAATATAGTTTGGACAATCCTCATCTTTTGAGCTAACTTTGGAGGTTGAGTTAGGCAACCCAAAATCCATTGTTATTAGGATTAGATTTAGTTTGATCATTTGATTTTTTTTTATCTAAGCTTAGTTATCCATAAGATTATATTAGGTTAGTGCCTGTTTGGATTGCCTGATTAAAAGTAATTTACAAAATAAAAATTAAAAGTCTATGAGTAATGCTACCCTACTTTTCATTTTTGACTTATTTTTAAAAAAATTAGCCTAAAAGTAAGTACTTAAAAAACACTTGCTCAAACACCTACAAAAAAAAGTGCACACGCAATAAGTTAATCCAAACAAGCACTAAATTCAAGTGAGTTGGTTACACTCTTCATGTTTTAAAGTGATTAAAACTCATTCAATTGAAGTGAACTGTTGCCCCAACAGTATTATGTTGACATCCTTCATATCACATGCAAAAAAAATAATGTAAACTCTCTTATGCATATCAATAAACATCACTACCAAAAACTGCACCGCTAGTAAATAAACGTGTCAATTCAACAAACTATTCGTCTTCCTAACAGATCAACACGATAATCGAGGGAAAATTGATATGCATATCTAACCTGTTATTGCTGGAGAATTCATGGAGTCTACCACGATTTGAGATGATAACAACAGCAACATCGACATCGCAGAGAATAGAAATTTCTTTAGCTTTCTTCAATAAACCCTTCCTCCGTTTACAGAACGCAACTTGCCTGCAATTTTTATCTTGAATTCGCTTAATTTCTACCTTCCTTCGCCCCATTTTTTCGCCGATTAAAAGCCCTAATCCACAAATTTCATATGTCTAGAAGATTCTCCAATCATCGCCGTTACTCCCAACCCAATCTTTCTCTTTTTTTTTTTTTGTGTGTGTGTGATGTTACAGTTACCATTTTTTGTTCTTTTTCTCTCTGCACTCAAATTAAATCTCTTGGGTCCCTTTCAGTCCTCAATTTCTTTTCCTCTTCTCCTGTTTTTCTTTTTACTTTATATATCAGTTATTACTACTAATTGTGATAATTTGGTGCAAGACAAGGGGAAGATAGATGGCAAATTGACTAGTTCTAATTTTAGCTTGTGATTGAAAAATAGTGAGAAATATCTCTGACATGTTTTTTTTTAATTTACGTAAATTTTATAATTAATTATTTAGATATATTCTAGAAATTTTATCAAGTTTTGATGTGATTAGATTGATCACATGTGTCTCGAGATATATCGAGTTAAAATTAGGTGTAATTTATTTTTAAAGATATTGTATTCAGATAGATTTGTATATAGCTGGTATTATATTTTATAAAAAATTTCGGTCTATCGATACATGCATTTAGTGTGGAATATGGACTAATGATATACGTGTATATGAGATATATGACAAATTTCGTTTGTCCCCTCTCTTCGTTTTAGTATATTTAATAGCAAAAGTATATATATCTTTTAAGTGTATCTTTCTCGATATAATATATAAATTATAATTAAAAAATATAATTAATAGTACGATATATAATATTTTAAATATAAGAATTAAGGCATAATACATAAACATGATTCTTAACTTGACGTCAGTTGAAATTATGATTTTTAACTTTGAGTGTATAAAAAAACACCTAAACTTGTATAAATTTTAATAAGTAAACACACATGCCCTACGTGATATAATACATATAAAATATCATGTAGGACATAAAATTGTCATGTATGGTGACAGAATGAAAGTGTCTATTTATTTAATTTTAAATGTCTACTAATATATATCTAAAATTAAATATTAAACAAATTAAAAATTATATTTATATATTATACGAAGAATTAAACATCACCCAAAATGAGTGAATCCGTTCACAAACTTAAAGGATAAGTATGTTAGGGGTGATGTTAGTTTTGTACGATAGAAGAAAAAGATAGTACTTCTCTGAATTTCAGCTCATTGGATGGAATTTGGTCCAGAGAAAATTAAGAACAATGAAATATTAAACAATTCTAATTAATGAGTTTTCATCAGATTATCAAAATGATTTTTAAATCGATAAGTTTATAATTAAATTATTTTTATACAGTAAAGAAAAAAAAGAAAATTGTAAGTTGAAAGGAATATATAATTTTTTATGTGAAGAAAAAAAGGCTTATTATATAAATTTTTCAGGAACTTTACCCTCTAAAAATTTAAGTTTGAACAATTTATTAGTCGTGCTTTTAAAAAATATATATTATAATTTTTTTAAAATATAACTTAAATAATTTTCACATCTCAATCGAATTATTAAAATTAAATTAGATCTGAGTTGATGAATTACTCGTAAGGTCAATCAAAAATAATTAGTTCAACTAGAGCTCATTTCAATTCCTATAAAGCCTTCATCCTCCTCCTTCAAAACAATCATCATTCACTAGCCACCTTTGTCAACTTTTGCTTCATTCTATTATTTTTAAAAAAAATAACTTTAATAAATGCTATAATTTAGTCACACAACATGACAATGACAATATAAATAGGTATAATATATAAATATGTTTTAAATTTGATTTTAAATTATACTTATGCCTTTTAATTTTAAATGTGTGCATAGAGATACTTAAACTTATATAAAGTTGAATAAATAGACACATGTCCTACATTCATCATGCATGTCAATTTTCGTCCGACGTGATGTCCTACGTGTATTATGTTATGTAGGACTCATGTGTTTGTTTATTTAAAAGTTGGATAGTTAAAGTGCATTATTAAAATTGAAGGTCAAAGTTAAAATTTAAAACCAAGTTTAGGGTTCAAATTTTCATTTCGAAAAGACAAAGCTACAATAAAATAAGAATATAGTTATAGTATGTAAAAAATGAAAAAAGAGAAGATATTTAATGAATAAAAATATTTTTTTTAAGTTAGAATTTTATCGTTCTCCATTTCATTTTATTTAACGATACTCTTTTTAAAGAATTATTTATAAGGATTTCATCTAACAAATATTTCTTTTTTTTAATGTAATTACTCATAATTTAACTTTTTTAAAATTATTTAACATTTAATAAGATGATTCATAACGATATACTCGTTAAAATATAGAGTATTACTCTATTTTGTTTTTTTTTAAATAATCAGGATAATATTAAGATTTTTGCACATCGGCATATAATTTGGAAGCATATAAGTATTTTTCCTATACCTCTATGGACCAAACTTTGGCCAATAAACAAATTCAGGGAATTAGTGTCACTTCTGCGGTACTTATCCTTCAAGTCTGTGAATATTTATTTTGATATTTTATTTTTATTTATTAATTTATTAAATAAAAATTAACGTGTTAAAATATTTTTAATAATTTAATTCGCAAGTTAGATATTTAATTTGTTATTTTAAACTAAGTTATGTAATATTTTATCGAATTCATAAAAAATAAATTTAATTATTTTTTGTCTTATTTAACACAAATCTAAAAGTACTTACGTATCTTCAGAGACATAATATACGTCAGCAATTAAACAACAAAATTTGTGTTATAATTATAATAATATAAAATTTTAGCTTCCATTATATTTTAATCATTTGTTTATCGACTACCGATTTAAGCGGCCGCATCATAGCCAGTGTCGCTCTCTCTATTTTTATTGCCACGTATTTAGCTAAATTTTGTAAATTTATCTTCTTTTAACATCTTTATTTGGACGTTTGTTACTTTGTTTGTATTTATATCGTTAATTTAAATATAATTTTTATTTTATTATTATTTAAATTATAATATTTTATTCATTTTATAAAAAATAATCTAGTTTGATTTAACACGAAATTTAAGAGTATAAAAAATAATTTTTAAAATCTTTAGTCATAAATTAAAATTAGATTAAATGTACAAAATTAATTTTTGATCTTGTGATCTTAAACATGTCACATGAATGACTGAAACTAAAATATTACAAAGAAAAAAAGAAATTATCCTTTTTAAAAAAGACTAAAAAGAAAAGTAGATTATTCTTTTTGAAACGGAGGGAGTATATTGAAAACGAATTAATTCTATGCTATTATTTTAATATTTTTTAACTTTATTTATTATTTTTATTTTTTACCGTAGTTTATCATAATAATTCTAGTTCCTCTTTGTATTTGCACCAAAATATGCCAAGTAAAAAACAGAGAGGGAAGACGAAAAGGGACCGAAGAGATTTAATTAGAGTGAAGTGAGTAAAAGAACAAAAATGGTAACTCTGTAACAAGCGCACACACAAAAGAGAAGAGCTGGGTAGGTGTAACGCCGATGATAGAAGAATCTTCTAGACATCTGAAATTTGTGGATTAGGGCTTTTCATCGGCGAAAAAAAAAATGGGGCGAAGGAAGGTAGAAATTAAGCGAATTCAAGATAAAAATTGCAGGCAAGTTGCGTTCTGTAAACGGAGGAAAGGTTTATTGAAGAAAGCTAAAGAAATTTCCGTTCTCTGCGATGTCGATGTTGCTGTTGTTATCATCTCAAATCGAGGCAGGCTCCATGAATTCTCCAGCAATAACAGGTTTTTTTTTTTTTTTCTGTTTTAGTATAATTTTGCTTAAGACTTTAATTGTGGTGACGTGTTGAGTTTTTAGGAAGATGAATAGTTTTTTAGGTTGACACGTTTATCGACAATGAGCTGTCTTAGTGGTGTAGATTTTGGTGTTGATCTTAGTGATATGCATAAGAGGGTTTACTTTTCTTTTTTTGCATGTGATATGTACGATGTCAATATTATAAAATTGGGAAAATAATGAGATACCTCATAGAATATAATAAACTCTTTTGGGAGTAACAAGTAATTGATAGGAGTATAAAAGAGCTTGAGAATATGAGCAAATAACCATACCTAATCACTATATCGCGGATGTAGAGAGACTGTTTACGAAAGATCGTAGGCTTAAGTGCAGTAAAACTCCATATAAAGAAGGTGGGAATGAAGAGAATTCAGCAAATAAAGAAAAGTAATAATAGTTGTTAAAGAATGGATCTTGGGTTGCGTAACTCAACGCCCAAAATCTAGCTGAAGAGATGAGGATGTCCAAACCATATTAAAGAGACCACTCGTCTTGTAAAGAATCGATGTGGAACTCTACTCTTCACACCCTTTAATGCCTCGGGCTGAACATCTGGTGCATGGACAATTTAATATGCGGGAACCGTCATCAGAAATGAGAATTGAGATGGGTCTTGCTCTGTTAAAAAAATGGATCTTGTGTCTAGATCAACCTCAAAACCTAACTCAAAGAAGTGAGGATTGCCTAAGCCACATTAAAGTCGAGATTCTATCTTGTGAATCATCCATGGTCAACAATCACATACATATATAAGTTCATGTTAGAATGACAAAAAGTTAGTAGGCACGAGGTTACTAACAATTTTAGATATCGAATAACCTTTTTAATCGCCTTTCGGTGCTAATGCTTGGGAAATGCATGAATTAGGATAGTTCGTTAGGTGCAAATGAGATATCAAGACATGCTGAAAGATGTATATTGCAACATACCAACTGTGCACCGATATAGCATTGCATCGGCGGGGTGAACCATCAACTGTTTTGGATGGTGAACTTGAACATACGGCGTGGTGATCCCTTTGCCTCAATCATATCTAGTTCTGACTGTATCTCAAGGATGAATCCTGACTATGATTAGACAATCCAATGTGGAACATACTTAACCTCAATCTCCAAAAAGTAGTTAAGTTTGCCACAATTGACGAGGGACTTTACCAGAGGTAAAGTTATCTGATTGTGTAATACAGAATCCGTGCTAATCAATTAATAAAAATAAAAGAGATAATATTTTACAAAAAACACTTAAACTACTAGCATTTCTCGGCATTTAGGCCTCAACTATTATTTGTTCCATTTTTCTACCTGAACTATTGCCATTATGCATTAAAATACACCTCAATTATCCGATTTTTCCTTTTCTTACCTAAACTATCACCATCATTCATTAAGGAAAAGGAAACAACTAATAGTAGA